ATGGCGTCGCAATGACGGTACTGAAACTACCATACCTGGACTGATAACTTGCCCGTAATTCGTCATACCTCCGCCATTTCCCAATAGAGCGTGTTACATGCACCCAAAAGACCGTCTCAATCTGTTGGAAGGGTGCCGAAACTTTAAGGTTTAGGCCATTATCCTGTACTAACTGGTAGTTTTGTTTCCAGTTCCACTAATTTTTCCAAAAGAACTTCACTGGGCACCTGCGCGACGTGCGCCGACTGACATTAAAGATTCACCGAACTTGGCAGCTGTGACAATACCTACCAAAGGTGCAACTATCGCCCATATCATCACTTGCACTTACTGATTTTGATCATCATGGGTCACTGGCACTAATCGTTCCAGTCAACTGGACTAACGCTGGAGACATCAATAAGATTTGATTGACGCGTTCACGTCTTCACAAGCCTCGCCCTGAAATTTGTGTTCAACCCAACATTCCCTGAGCAATCCGAGAGGCTTAGTGTATGGAAAATACAGGCCTCTCCTCTTCGCGGATGATTTCTCTTCCAAATAAGGTCTTACCCTAATACGATGAGCAGCGAAAGACAACAAAAAAAACTATCCGAGTTCTTCCCCTCCACTAGCGTACAACATATCTCAATATTCCCCCATATCATGATTCAATATATGGCTAAAAACTTTCGACCCAACAAGAATCGCCATAAGCCTGACCACAGGTCACGAATCTCCAACGCCTTCCTCTGGCCAAACAACCGCAATCCGTCTCAAAAGAAGAGATCTCTTGGGCCAATGCTTTTTTGTTGGAAAAAAAGATGGGAGAACCATTTAGCATTACCTTTAGATAATATTAATGACAAGACGTAGTGGAATCCAGGCACCGGGTGCGAAGTAGCCCTCATGCTGCACAACATGCTGAATGGCAACAACCGAAGAAACAGTAAGAGAAAAACGTGGCGGTCCATCTATTTGTTCACATAGCCTTTGTGTTCTCCGACTTTCTAGATCTCAAAGCCCTCACCAAGTTCCTCTGGGCTCGCTTTTGGCGTCCCCACGCAGCAGCCCCAATGTAAGACGTATTATATAATTGTTCTATGAAGACAACCTGGCCAGAAGACTGAAACGCCACCCTGACAACGGCCACCAGCTCGTTGGTTGTCCTGTACACATTGTTGGGGGTCTTAGGCAGCTGGATTACGATTTTCTGGCGTTTACCGCGGGAAGCGATAATGCAAGTGCGACAGGCTGCTTAGGGGTGAGAGGGTCAGAATCCTGACTTCGTGCTTGCGAGTTAAACGCTGCTGTTCAACGCACCGCAGCTCACCGTACTTGTATACGCCAGTGGTCAATCGATCATCGAATTCGGAGTGGTGAACAGCGTCGCTTTGCTAAAACCAACTATTTCGGAGTCAGTAGAACTCACTATTACGAAGTCAATTGGCCCGTAATGAAAAAAACACGACTGATGCTCATTGGACTTTCATCCCCACCCAGTTTGTACAATATCATCGAGCCCAATGTGCCAGAGGCCCACTTGACAGCTGTGCTTAGTAAATTTCTTCGAATATGGACGCCAACTCTGCTCCGAGAGGATACCTCTTGTTATTGATGTCTTCTAATAGGGACTGTGAATCTTACAGACTATCATCAATTCCGCATCTTTTGCACCGTCCCGTTCACCGAGACGAAATGGCGTATCAAATTAAGCCACCGAGACATCCGTCAGCAGTCCTAACCAATTTTAGTACACGAGTTTAACCATCAAATCGCGGGCTGCGGTTGCTGATCTGCTGGATTATAGGTCAGACCCGTGACGGCATAGAGGCCACCGAATTAACTTGTCGTACTTGAATTCGGCTCACACACGTACCCTACAGTACGGACTGTAGGCTCTCTTCCTAGAAGTCACTAAATGAAAGTGATGAATGATGTGAATGACGACCACGGCGCGGTAGACAGAACGGCCAGTCATTCCTGGCTTGGGAACAAGTTATAAAGGACGTCCATGCATAACTACTCCAATCGCAGCCGTTGATTTCTGGACCATCGCAGCTGACGCACGTATGTAGGAAGTGCTTCATTCAGAGATTTATCCAAGACCTTTAACTGAGCCAATAACGCTGTTCCTCAGGAAGTTTAGGGTTTGGAGAGGAAAGCAGGCCGAAATGGCACTTAGCTGACGGTACTTTGCATGTGCAAGTCAACGGAACATTGTCCAGAGGTATCAAAGCCATAGCCGGTGTACCTCACGGATCCACATTGTGACTCCTATTGTTCATTCTATTCAGCAGCGCTCCCAACCAACCACGTTCTGCAGCGAAAGGCGCCACGCCATGAAGCCATCTGCAGTCCAGTCGACCTAGAGATTCTCCAGAAAGACCCGGAAAATGATTCCCTATGGGCCTCTAAACAAAGGCTCTGTGCAGCGCGTACAATCGTGAAGTCATACGTAATGCGGGCATTTAGTACACTCAGTGGCAGAGCTCCCGGAGCTGCAACTCAGGAACGGGAATTTAGGACAGTCACTTCTGCCGACTGTAGCTCGAGTGCCAAATTTAATACTTTGGCAAGGATGGTTAGCGTTCGTCTGGTAATTTCTTCACGTATAATGGTATCATTTGTCTATCTATATGATATCTTAATGCGCCCTCTTCTTGAGTACATATTGTGCGGTTTCTGTGCCTGAGGATGGACGAGAACCACGGCACTTGCCTACACAACGACTCGAAGAATCCTAAGATTGGAATTTAAAAAATCAGATGTGGTTCACATTAACATCAATTCCACATCCAAAAAATGAGTGATTTAAAAGTGCTGTGGTATTTCGGAAAGTGCCCTCTTTTGGAAGGTGTGACTTCGACCTGTAAATCACCACTACCTCCATGTAACGGCTCATCTAAAATTGACGGGAACCCCTTTGAATGATAAGGGTTTTTATCTTTTGACTCACTGCACAAACTTATGCCATTACCTGAAGATCAATGCACTCCGTTTGCGTAGCAAGCTAGGATTTTTACAAACTTTGAATGATAAGGGTTTTTATCTTTTGACTCACTGCACAAACTTATGCCATTACCTGAAGATCAATGCACTCCGTTTGAGTAGCAAGCTAGGAGTTTTTACAAAGTGCACGCCCAACTGAGGCTTCAGCTGGTGCATTGTTGGGCTATATACATGAGCACCACAGTGAATTAGAAAGTACAGTGCCTGGCAGGCTTTGCATAACCTGTACAATTTGAAGAAAACGGAGGCTCACTTGGGCTTTGTACACACAGCGAGGCAAACAAAGATGTCAAGTCGTGAATGTGCATTCACAGACCGGATTCAAAATAAGGAGTATCTACTTGGAGCATTGAAAGTAGAAAGAAACAGAAAATATGGAAAGTATTCTCGAATGTAATAGCAGGAAAGACCGAGGTGTGAAATTGCGAATGTGCACGACAAGCAACCAGACCGAAGGTGTTAACTGAATTGAAGCGTTCAAAAGTAGGAAGTATTATACGACGTCAGCGATACTGCTCAGACCGATCCAGCGCTAGAATCCGAACAGTCCGTTTCAGTCGAAACAGACGAATCTGGGAAGAGATATTGTCGCAAGGCAGTCATGGTGTTTCCAGATGAAGACTTCAGAGTAGTTGGTGGAACCATAGTGCTTGGCTTGCGCAGAGGTTGACGGCACACTCTGGTTAAGATCATGCTTCTGTCCGTCTTCGAGCTATCGCTACTGGAGGTATCCCAGGGTGGACATTTGCGATTCGTCGGGGTGATAGACTCAATGGGGCGACGATTCGGTTTATTGATGGTACCATTAACATCTGACCGCGTTGTGTGCGACATTGTCAGTGTGCGTAAGCGTGAAGCAAGGCGATCAAGGCCACAAAAAGGTGAAGAACCACTTGCAGTAGAATACCGTCGGTGTGAATTAATCCCACTGAACGGAGAAGATTTCTTGTCGGAGTGGTTCAAACAGTTCTGCTGCACGGATGTCGGAAAATGGAAGGACTACTAGAGGACACATAATGTTCATGGATAGTTATTCGAGGTAAAACAGGGAAAAAGTCATCACGTATATTCCTAGCCCTTCCATGTGAAAGATGTGGTCGGATAAGCTCACACTAGTACCGGTTGTCAATGCAAATAGACTGTGGCCCCTGGACCCTGAGGCAAGTTGAAGAATCCTGCACATCACTGCGTTTCACCAAGGTTTGGTACCAAAGCACGAGGACATCGCCAACCAGATTCACGCAAGAAACATTGCTACGTATGATTATCAGAGGACATGTACCGTAGAACTGCCGAGACCATTCCCGAAGTTTCATAATGAAACCAAGGTCAGGTTCGGTGCAGATATGACTTCATGCTGTAGCATAGTTGCACCAGACCATGCGGCGTGGCGCGGAGGGCAGGTGTGTACGTATGATCATAAAGATGGACACGAGGGGATAAGAACTTTTAAAGTCCTGAATCAAGTGCTATCAGGTGGGTGGCGATAGCTTAATGGAAGAGGTTGGCACAGCGACGTTAAGTAATCGGATGGTAAAAACAATACTGTGACCAATAAATTGGAAAAGGTTTGGAACCGATTGAGAAGTCATCGTTTCAGGAGAGGAAGGGGGATACTGCGCTCTGCACTGGTGCAATTGAAGGATCGCTTCCCGGCAGATAGAACCAGGGATTATGTCTACAAAATTAACTGTAACAACTGCACTAAGGTCTATACAGGATAGATAGCCAGGGAACTTTACATCAGAATCGGAGAGCATAGTAGAAAAATGAACAGGCTGCCAAGAATGAATGAATGAATATTAAGCGTTACTGAGAGACTCGGCTATTGCGGAACACGCACTGGACACGGGACACAAAATAGACTTAAAAATGCTGAGATCTTGAGGCGAGGACTACGATCCACGTCACAGAGACTGATAGCCTAGGCGGTAAAAATCGCCAAGCATCTCAGTGTTAACAGAATAGAAGGCGTAAAACTGGCAAACGTGTAGAGAACGGTTTTGGATCAGTCAAGCAGACACGTGTTGGTGTGCGGTCATCAGAAGGAAGAGTAGTCACTACCTGAATTCCACTTGACCTCATCTCCCACCCCAAACTAGTGTCGCAGCACTCACAACCCCACAAAGAACAAGGAAAATCTATCAGTGGCACCCGAGGTGAATCGTCGATTTCAGCACCCCGATCAGAATTAATTTGAAACTCCCCCAATCCATCAAAGCAAGATTTTGACAACCACACTAACCGACAAGAGCCGTTAATTGACACTCAACACTGATCTAGTGTGATAATCTGAAGAGGTTCCCCGTCTGTCTTATAACCTGGCCAAATTGGTGACCTGTTCACTTGGCCTGATGAAGCTTTTGTGCCAAAAGCGAAACGTTGCCCAAATAAAAACTACCGATTGTTTACCAAGCTCTTCTGAAATACTGTGACCAATTTCACGCGTACCTCAAAAATGTACACTATCGGATTATGAGCGGTTCTCAAACCAGGAAACACGAAACACTTCTCCGGGCAAGTTGGCACAAGCCGCCAGTCAGTGACGATGCCTTGGAGAGACAGTATAAGTCATACTATGGCTCATAATATAACGCTCGTTCGCTGACGTTGTAGTCAGCAAAGGGAGCAATTTCCATGCTTAAACAGCTACATGAAACATATACCGACTCAGTGCTCCCACGAGAAGGACATGAGAAGAGAATACTACGGAGTACGGAAGAGATCCGAGTAAATGAATTTGGATTACTGATAAGTAACGATTCATGTCTTTGTTGGGTGACTAGGATCATCAAATCAGTTAACCCTTATGTGGAACGTGTCTCCATCAAGATTTCTTACCTTAAAGGTTTTTACGTCGGGGTCACCACTATTCGCTGGCCTTGTATGATGTGACCGTATAATTTAAGGATGCTGAAACTACCTGCGGTATCTAGTAAGTGTATGGGAATTCGGAAATAGGAAGATCGAGTAGGTAGCCCCAGCCAAAAGTCGAGTTGTCGGCGGGGTAAGCCAGAAGTATACATAGTCGATGGAAATGAATCACAGCAATTTCGCTTGGAATATTGTTCACAAATTAACTGTTGGGTGAACTCAAGCCATGTTTGCTGTCCGAATACACTAAAACATTAAAAGGGATTGGTATAGCACCGGTGATGTCTGATAAAGCATACTCTCAGCTAGAGCTCATGATAACAGTTACTAAGCTACACAGCTAAAGTGTCTTGGTTCTTTCTAGACAGAAGACTGACACAAAGCAAAGTGATACCAAGTAGTGTTGAAAGTCACCGGAGTCAAAGGAAAAAGTCATGACCATCTAAAATATTGGTTTTCGAATGAAGTATGGCAATGATGACGTGTGCAATATTGCTGCTGAAAAATCAGTGGATAACAAGTAACCTACCATATTAGGCCTCCATTTGCCCATGAGGTCTGTCAGGTCTTCAGCCCAGCCCAGTGATTCGCTTAGCCGTTGAACTGACCCTGTAATACTGCCTGAGTGGGACACAAAGCCATCAGATGAAACATTAGCTACATGTTACTTACAAGGGTAAGTGGTTCGTTCACACTGACTGTGGAAGTTGACAGCTAGTTGACATTAGAAAGCACCGTGGTTTAACAAACAAAACTCCACACTAAATGTGGAGAACGGATAACGAAGTTTTGGAGGCCAGTTTTATCCTTTGCCTCCCCTGCACCGTTTGCGCCAGGCACGAAACAACGTGGTCCCACAATGACCCGACTGTGTCACACCTGCCAACCAATCTAAAGCAACAAGACCATTAAAAAACGAAAAGACACTATCCTGAAACCATTGAGTCAGGAGAAGTGAGTGAACATGCTCCAATGGCTTGCCGAAGGTGTTTTCATGTATATGAACTTTCATTATCTGACCACTGCATTACCAGCCGAGTTCTCGCTTGGAGAACTTGGTGAGCGACCATCGTATGCACAGAAGTGCATTTACCTTCATGAATCATTGCGTAAAGCGTGAAAAGCCAATTGAAAAAAATCGTTCAGCTGCAAAACTCTTTCGGTGCCTAGCTGCTATGCCACCCAAAGGTAGTACAATAGATGAGATACTGCCAGGTTGCCCAAGCCTAGACAGGGTAAGTCGAGAGGCAGAGGTCGGGTTCGAACCATGGACCTTCCGGTAAGTAAATTCGCGATATAACCAATGAGCCATCTCGCCGCAAAAGCCATTTGGCATTGTTATCGCTTCGTGCTGTTTGCTTTACTTCGGTGTTCGCTGTTCATCACTGAGTGGGAACACGTTGAAGACCTCCTTTTTTATACCAGCTAACTACCGCCCGGAAGTGGTCTCGCCAACGCAGCAGTAATATTACGGAATTCCACTATCGGGATTCAAAATTTACATTGTCTGTCAATGTCTATGGAATCAAATGAATGCACTGACTCCCTAGGTACGAACAGTACCCCTGTCCATATGAGCCTTGAACACCACGATGACCGTGGTGTCTTCGCAACTACTGGAACGAGGCTCCTACGCAGTAAAATGAAACTGGTTTGAAAAACGATCAAAATTGAACCGTGAAGCATTCAAATATTGGTTTCGTCATCAGCGTTGTTGCATCGTGCTTGAACAAATCAAGGCCTCCCTCACTCGTGCTGAGGAATGAAGCGGCTATCACCAATGTTTTTGCTTTCTGACAAGTAGGTGACGGCATTAATTGTTACAACGTACACAATAAAATCATAAATAACAGATATTGGAACGAATCGTCAAGACTAACGCGAAATACGCGGCGCAATTAGAAGATAAGGCAAACAATGGAAATACGAGGTAAACAGATTTTTTCTAATGCGTAAAAAGCGCTTCAGCCTTTACGACTGCGATTGGTCAATTCTTTCTACCACATCCTCCGATGATGAGACCAATTTTCATTAGTTATCGTCATCACTTTGGAACCTGACGCAACACCGCAATCTGCTTAGCTAGCAATTATGATCGTATTTGAACAAACAGCTTTCATTCTTGTCCGGATTTCCTTTGCTGAGTTTTTTCTATTAGCTCCTTCCTCAGCTTCGGTGACCTCTGATGAGAATGAGCTGTACAGGGCTGAGTCAAGGGTTAGACTCCGTTCAATCAGAGACTGGGATCCACTAACAAGACGCAACCGGAATGAGGTCTCTGTATTGTTGTCCGCTGTTTGCTCAAATGAACGGAAACTTCTACCGTTTCTAATACTTATTCGGAAGAATTCTGCGCCGGCTAAAGCACCGATTTCCCTGTGCGATAATGAGGCATGACATCTTTTATAATTTGTTGTCCATCTCACCAAGCCAAACAATAAACACTTTTAAATCAGAACCTTTGACGCACATCAAATTGCACCCAATATTGTCTGAACCAGGGTTACTGGGTGTTTTATCGTCACACTGTCACACTTCACCCTAACATGAGATGGTAAGAGAACCGACCGAAAATGTCGTCTATCAGTACTGTCGAACGCGACACCCATACGGATAACGCAGTATCACATACGCTAGATCACACAGAAATCTTGACTGTTTCACACACTGCGCTGATTTGAATAGCGTTGAGTCCTGTGGTTTTTCAATTCTGGAAAATTGCCCTTCCAGTATCTCTAGTCCCAGGGTTATGTTCCATGATCACGGAGCTGCCATCCACAAAATGAAGCAAGTACCGTCGTCAATGGTTCGCGTCAAATGACCTATAGGTCCAGATGGTCCCAGATGGCAACAGAATTTTCAGGCAGGGGAGATTATAAGGCGTCAGTTTCCAGAAAAACAGCATTGTTGATAGTGAAAAAAATTCCCCAAGTGGATGGCCAGATGGGAGTTTCAGAAAAACTAAGTAGCAGAAAACAGACGAACATCAAGACACCGGTGATATATGAAAACCACAGGCCCATCGCAGACCTGGAATTTAAACTGAAATAGGTACCGCAAACATAATAGTATGGATCGATTGAGCTCAGCTCAAGTAGGATAAATAATTTTGAAATCCAACTGGCGGATTCAACACGGGACCGATTCACTGTACACTTCATCCTCTCCATGAAGCGATCTAATTTACTGGTTGGAACTTACGGTTATCCACGCTGGATACTCATTGAAACATCCGGCCAAAGGTGCTAATTCAATTTGGAAAATATGAGTGGCATCGGGAGCTGCTAGCTTCAGGTTTGAATGCATTTAGTAAACAAAGGTCCACTACTTTCATTCACTATCTGACAAGATTGATTACTCGTTTAAGCGGTATTCCCCCACCCACCATTCCTTCTCGTTTTGAGTGTTTTCGCAAGTTACCGCGCTCGAGAGGATGAATCTGAGTCTCAACCATGAATTGCGATAGAGGTACCGGTCCGTGGGCAATCGATTGTTTTCTCGACTGCCGTTAAAAGTTATTAAAGATCTGTTGTTAGTGGCGCGAAACGTTTGACGACATACCCTTCCAGCTCCCAAACAAGGTTCACCAGTCTGCCCAGACTCTATAGATTCGGATGTTTGTAAAGGAAGCGCAGGATGGCTGAAGTACGTTCCCATGAAGTCCTTGTGACCATATTCCATGATGTGGTAAACTGCATTCTATCGAGTTAGTGAACCGTGGAGTTGCAAGGACTATGGGTTCATGAATATATCTGAAAAAAACAGCTCACAGCGACCTCCGGATAGCAGATCGCACGCAAGAGTGCAGAAACAGCGGGACAAGTTACTCGAGGAGGTATTCAAGTTAATCGAAGAGTTGGGACATAGGAAAGGAATGTAACTAAAATTTAAGTGAACACGTTAGGAGGTTTAGTAAGGATAGTTGATATTAGGAAACGTACCGAGTAGTACAATATCTCCAGGTCTATTTCGATATCGAAAAGAGCCGACCGATTCACGGTTAATTAAGATGCGCGGTATAAATCGGGGAACGCTGTCTGCCACACCAGCGAACGGGTAGACCTTGAAAAGGAAGAAGATAGAGTGAATTACGGTTGGAAAATGTGTAATATTAGTTTGGGAGATGACAATAAAATGATAAGCACCTAACTGCTTAAGACAATTGGAAGCCTATTCATGGAACCCATGAACCGTCAAAATAGGTAGCTCAGTAGCAATTGGTACAAAATACAGCACCCTCTCCGTAACTTTACTCTGGATATGGTTGATTATGCACCGCCTTTTAAAGTAGACCACAATGACGATCACAGCACGGTCGATTAGACGGCCAAGGTTCCCTGTCCATACAACCTCAAACTAAGCACAAGGTTGGAGTACAAGGAAGCAAAAAACAAGTTTGAAGTACTGATACGATTGTCCGAACGCCTGGTGCAGTTTACCATACATAGGAGCTTCTTTTACCACGGCAACTAAAATAATCATACCTATACATCGCTTTATAAAGGTCTCCCGAATAAGAACTATCTCATCACATACACCAATATTCATATTTTACCCAAACGCACGGTCAACTCTATGCGACGATTATCTCAAAAAGACCATACTGCCGTTCGAAAAAGGTGTGTGGGTCACTGCAGTTCACCCTGCCATCTAATTAGTTCTCATGTTCCTCCAACTCCAACTCGGCGATTATGAGTATTCCGCAAACGGTCATCCTACTGTGCCCACTCAGCAAACACCTACTGTTAAGTCATCCAACTGTGCAATGCATCATCGCTGGAAAACAACTAGGGTCAATTTATTTGGATATGGTGATCCGTCTTTAGAGAGCAGAACCGAATGAAGTGGTGATATGGTCGATATTCTTCAAGTATGTATGAGGAGTGAAGGCAGGGTCCGTCTTTTCACGGACAAATGTCACAAAGTAATGTAACGGATAAACTGTTACCTCGAAACTATGTACACTTAAAAACATCAAAACATCGGGCAAAGAGATGGCTACACAAATTTTAGCAAATGGGGAATCATGGAGGCCCACACGAAGACTGAAGGCTTAAGGAAGTCATCATTCAGGGTGACAAATATGATGGCCTCCAACATGGAAAACGTCCCAAGTTAGAACACTGTGGTAGAGCCACGTACGATTGGGCATGGAATCGATGCGCTTTGGAAAATTATCCGAACTCCAAACAGGCACCACCTTAAGTGTCCCGAGACAGAAAGTTCCATCCTAACATGGATCGGGAAGCAAAATTGGTGCACTGGGTTTTCTTATGTTTTGTATGAAGTGCGCATTTGATTAGTCATGACTACTGAGTGTGCCATTTTTCATAGCCTACGGTTGGCCAGGAAAAGACCGGCCCAAAGTTTTGGATGGCCAAAACTCTAATAGGAGCTTCAAGAAAGCAACGAAAGATGGTCGTTTTTAGGCAGCGTTGTCACGAGGATTGACTCAAGCATCAATACAGACAGTATTTTACCTGAAGATTCCAGACTTGTGCACATAACCATTCTGACGACACTAACACATTCTACCAACGCTCATATTCAGATAAATCTCGAGGCTTCGAGTAGACTCCCTTTCACAATTCTACAACCGATCAGTCGCTTGTGATAAAGCGACAGCCGTCCAAATAGGACACACAAAAGAGACTAACTATGACCATCCCCCATAAGACTTAGTTTTCCATTATACAGAACGAGCAAAACTGGTCTCTGGGAGGGGGGTAACCTGAAACCATCCCTCAGGAAAAACACCACTAGTTGGTCCACTGGGGCACAGTTAAAGAATGGAGCTCCTCTTGGGAAAAAGGTTTTCGATTAGTCCCTTCGAAAGGTGGCCCCAAAGAAGGACGTGCTTGGAAACGCGCCTTATGGGGAACCTTAAAATTGATCTCTTCTGCGAATGCTTCGCCGGGATGACTGAATAGGTCCCTCCCGGGAAACACCGCCCCTATCTCGCTGAGTCGCTTCGGGAAAGTAATTCGTGCTTCTGATGAGGTTTCTCTAATAGACGAAATACTGCTCGGTTGCTCTTTTGATAAGCTATAGAAAGAGTTGTACAATAGCGACGTTGAGTTGATCCTGAAGGATAGTCTAAATACTCTGCAACCATTGTCCACTGAGGGGAGGCTAGTATTTCCATAACTAAACACAATCACAGATGCAGCAAATACAGGCGGGCAGCTAGATCGAAATGCAGCCTGAAGGTGTTACACTGTGTTCACTTTGCGTTGAAAAACATGTGATGCAATTAAGTAGCATTGAAATGTAGCTGGACAGCGTCAACAACACCGACGTAAACCAGCAAAGTTTTTCCCGCAGAAACTAAAATTTAGAGATATAGCACGGAGATATCAGAGATTCTCAGCATCACTGACTAACGAAAGCTCCCCTGCATCTTTTTTGAGGTCAAACTATGGAACAGTTTATTAAATTTTGTTATCCGCCTTCTGGATGCATCTAAGCATACATCTATCAGTTGTGATGAGGAGGATTCAAACCATCTTGAACTTGAGTTACGTGGTATTTCAGCGAAACGGCAACCAGTCAATGGTGCCACTCCAGCACGCTGAATTCTTCTTCTGGTAAAGACGTGCATGAAGTTTACTGTCCACCGCAACAACGCTTTGGTGGAAGTGAAGGATATATGGCTAGACCACGTACAGGTTCAAATTCGACAGTGAGGCATCATTTGAGATGCTTCTTGTGAAACAACGATCTTGGGGATGCAATAGTCATTTGTTTTCTTCGATAGAAATTGTTCTGAATAGCAGAAGTGGTCTTGCCTATGATAATCGCTCTGAAAGGCCTTAAAAGTGGGAGTGGGAGGACCACTTCAAAAAAGGAACGCGTAGTGAGTGTGGTAACCAAAGGGGGATCAGCTTGACCCAGGAGACACTACAAGATATGGCTGCCAGCCGATGTCAGTGGCGTTCTTGTTGTCGGTTTCTATCCATATTGCCTGAGTGAATGTCTGGAGGTGTATGCACCTCAGGATGATTGTGGTAAGCTAGCCTAAGTCCCTTACCCGTCCACCTTTACTCTTTTCTTTACAATAAGGCTTTCAAATAAATCATGGTTGTACGGCAGTGAAGCATCAGTGTTGAACACTGATGTCATGCTGTCGATGATGATGATGAATCTTAATATAGAGAAGAGATGAAGTATGTGTAGCAATATTTACTCCAACGGTTAGTAAAGGCGGCCCTTCCCGAGAAAGATCCCTAATTAAGAGATCAACCAGGGCGTTTTTCGTAATTGGTCTTTGTTCAGGAGACGTACCGCATCTGACTAATTGCTCAAAGTTCACCAATGCAGCACAGTTGGAAGTTTCTTACGAATCCGATCCAGTTCCTACTGCCTCTCGGAGAACCTAGAAACATGACTGTCGCACCCAATACAGCGGATGATCTTGTTCTTCTTTGGTCTACTTCAGATTGCATGACGGGAAAAGCATAACTACCTGGTTTGAAACGACCGACTGAATTGTGCTTTGAGCCTGCCTTGGTATAAGTTAGGGGCCGTGACTTAAAAGAGTACAAGATCGCAGTAACTGATGACGCTACGTAACTTATCATGCCAGATATCTGTTTCGATTACCTATTTCCGTCTGCATACCAGTGAGAGACAGTACGTAGGTGTTTGGCGAATGGTGGACTTTGCCCTGAGCTGTGCTGTGGCTCAATAAACAGCTTGCGCAGATTTTACGCTTGCCTAAACATTTGACCAACGGCGCTCCTTCACCACAATCATTCCTCTCGCTACATGCACATCTCAAACCTCACTCTGTTAAAAGTGGAACGACTTAACGCCAACAAACAGTCTCGGCGGTCCGCCCATCAGTCCTCCTATGCGGAGAGGAGTAAAACGCAGCATCTGGAATCAAAGTGCACTTGAGAAAATGAACGAAACAGCACCTCAACGAAGTAAGCTACTCACAAGGTTGCTGAAAACTTTTCGACTATCATAAACGAGAGGTTCAGTTGAGTCTCTCGCGCAAACCAAACTGATTTGCAAATGAGTGTATTTCTCGAAAGCACCTTAACCAACTTTACAAAGTCCGTGTGAACGTGCACTCACCTCGAGGGATGTACCCATCACAATTACAAGGTCTGTTTGGGCCATATCTTTCGTATATTCCCAAAATCGTTCCGGAAGGTTTTCACCAAAAAAGACAATATCCGGTTTGACAACATTGTGACATTCAGGACATTTGGCAACGGTACTCGCGTCGATTGCGTCCTATGTTGATAGGGAATAAAAGGAGGTAAATGAAAACTGACAACCATAGTAGAAACGTAGATGAACGAAAAAACGGCTAGAGAACAATCACTTCAGGTCGGAGGTGAGTTGCGCAATAATGTGGTCGACTGAAGCGACCAGTTTATCAACACACAGAAAGAACTGCCAGCTATTTCTATAAATATGCTCTCCACATTTTAGTAGGAAGGAAAACGATTGGTAGATGGAGAAAACGAGTTCGGATTTCCGCAAAGAACCAAGCAGAAAGCGGTAGAAGTCCATACCATAAGCGACTCGAATGGACTGGGAAACATGAACGCCTTTTAAAGTCTGCCGTCCAAAGTTCCCTCTTATGGAACTTCAATGAAACCGGAATTCGGAGGCATTTACAATAAGCACTCCGAATAGCAGAGGAGGAAAGCCACCACACACATGTTATTCGACAACCATGTCGCCTTTCAACCCACCCCGAACGGTAAGTTAACAATCTTGTTCGCATAGTTGACAACTTGTTCTGGATAATCATATCATGATTTCCGCTAACGTGTAGCTTTACTTAGCGGACGGCTTAAGCCAAAGTCATGCGTTAAACAACTTCCTCTAGAATACGACCCTGCCATCGCACCGTGAGGTCATTAGTCCCTCCATGGAACGAATTCGCTCCATCTTTTTGAAATCGTAGTGTAGAAAGTGCTACGGTATTCTCAGATTCAAGTTTTGAGTGGTTCTGCATTGGGGTCAGCTGGTATTTTCTCCGAAAGTCCAGAGCGTAGGTCCGCAATCATGGCAGGACATGATTCTTTCCCCGTCTAGATCACTGCTAAATAAACGAAAACAACCAAACCCTGGATTTGGCTCGGATGAAACAAAGCTTGAGGAGGGGATGACGAAGTATCAATCGAGCAGGTTACAACTGTCCTGATTCTCTGCAACCATGATGTTCGGAAAAGAACAAAAATTAAAAAAGCATTTAAAGCGAGAAGCCTTAGCCTCGAGCAAACAAACACACAGCGACCGGAACTTGAAGGGACATTCGTCGATTACCAATAACCGAGGAAAGTAATCCTGGTATAGACAGTTCCCGGTGAGACTGCGGCTGACCTATAGCCTATAACCAAAAGTGATGGCGTGCAGGAGAGATGGAAATTACCCAGTGCAGTATAGGCCAAAAAACGTGATTTACTCACGCAAACAATGGCGCTCGGATGTGTTTCCTATGCACAGCTGTTCATTCCTGATATGACCTGCGATGGTGAGGTGCTTATCAACGGCACCGAGTTAAAAAATTCTTGAAATTTTCATTCAAAATTGTACTTGAAATTTCTATTAAAATTTTTATTTCATAAGCATCTAACAATCATTGGCCGTATCGGAAGGGAAAGACTGTGCATGGAGAAGATACCTGAACGCGATTATTTGCACAGATAGATCAAGGTTTTCAGGTAATTTCTTTCCTCCTGATCGCTACAACTTCGGGTTTTCTAACAGGTTTGGTTATAAAATGGACTATAGGTCGCCGGGAGCTGTCAGGAGTTAATGTGACTACTAAACGCCTATTCATCCACTTTTCTTGCACTATCAATAAAATGATCAGCAGAACAGGTCAGCGTTGAAATTTGATGATGTGATTTGAACACATCCGCAGCATTTCAATCGTTTCTGTGAGAATTGGACAAACCGGAAATATCTCAGCCCTCGTGTTTCTTTTGAGTTGCATGGTAGCTATGCAACGAAGAGTCACCATATGTGAACAGGGACCGACAAATAATGTAAGGCTAAAGGCAACAGAATCATTCTGTTTGGAAGGAATACTCAAACGACCACACAAATCATCCTTGTGAAATGAGGAATACTGATTCAGATTCAGGTTCATGAATTTGATTACAGCAACAGGAGCTGTCTAAATGAATGAATACCAGGCAACGATGATTCAAATGGGCTCATCTCAACCTTGAGCAACCTTGGCTCATCTCACCTTCTTAGCAAAGAAACGCCACCGCATGATGATGAAACACCGGACTACCAGACAAGAACGTTTATGTTGCTGGACCAAAATCGTGGAACAGAAAATCACAAAGGTTGGAAAATTTATCATTCTTTCTGGGGATAATCACTTCATGAAAGTTATCCCTCCCCACAATCAAGAGGCCATTATTTATCAAGGCAGGGCTGGGGAAACAACCAGTGCTTCGCATGGTATCTTTCACTCGCAAGAAGTCAGAAAACTTAAGCGGTGCAATTACATTCCAAAAGTTTCTGACTGATGGCTATTACACAGCGGCTTCAATCGAGGAGTGCCTTATCTGATCCCACTGGTACGAGCGGTATCAACGTTTGTAGATAGCGTCCTCTACTGCATATTGGTCGTGCCCTAACAACTACATTACACAACGGAAGTTGTACAAAATATTAGGTAAACGGTCCAAGAACAAACTAACCTTGACAACGTTGGAGGATACGTTCGATCGACACACGGTGCATGTTGCAGTGAGGAAAGTCCCATGGGCCTCAACAAGTTTATCTGAAGGAATACCGGCCACTGAATGGAGTGAAATTAGAAACACAAAAGTTATCAGAAAGGTAAGCAATACGAAGCTTTCGGCATTCCCCCCAATCAGTTACAAAGTTCAAACAACGTCCAAGAGAGGAAAAAAGTGAAGCCAAAAGACGATGAGGCGAATCCCTGATACGTGTAAACCAGTGCTTCGAGTACAAAACGGGTGATTTTTCTCGAGCAGCCCTACATGGATGTCCTGAGAAGACTACTGTGAATACCGCAAAACACTACACCGAGCAACAGGGACACTGGCACTGGGCACCGGCTAGAACATTCTACTAAAATCGAAACCGCTTCAGGTTTTTATCCGGACAACTCAACGTTTTTTCAAGGACAGCTTATCCTGAAAACGTCTTAGTCTCATAACAGTCTCAGTTGGCCACAACACACTGGAACCGGAAATGGGTGGATATTGAAGAACCGAGTAGCCACCTGATTGTCATCTTTGTCAGCATTAGTTGTACACTTGAAGCTTGTCCTCGTTTACCAGGTAAACTCGTCCCATCATCGACCTATGGCTGAACCGATATGGTCATTATCCCATACGAAAACCAATAAAAATACGCCCGAAAATCTCGCCATCATTGCGATCCATTGGGGTCGTGAGCTCAGTGAAGTCAGCTGATTCGCAGTGCTGCGACAAAATACAGTACCTACCTTTGGAAAGGCTTTGGAGGCGGGTTATATCACAAAAAGTGCACACTGCCCATACAGGAGCCTAACAGCAAAGGATCACTGCTAACAAATCAATCTGCCGCAAAGGAAGAGTGTCGGATAGACTTGCAACGTGTATTACAGAATGAGTCAGTTAGATCGAGTCGAAATTCTTGATGGGTCAGGAATAGGCTAAGTGTGTAGCGAGTACCTCGGGATAACTAATCCTATCCGGAAGGTAAACGGACTAGAATCAAAGTCACGGTTTTCAGCATCTCCGAGTGGGGGTCCTCAGGCGACTCCGCTGCCTGGGACTCGTTAGTCTGAGGCTGTGGTAGCCCCAATAGTCCCTTCTTTGGTTTTGCGATCAGGAAGCCTTTTGTTCAGAGAAAAATATGACAACACAACAGCATACATACTCTCCCGATTCATTGAACGTTTCTAAACATACTAGCTGGGGTCCCATTTGACACATGTTGGAAAAGCCCTTTTATCGTCCACGTAGACGCTTTAATCCTGACTTTATCAATCTGGCATTGAGGTAAATCGGGTGGTAGGAAGTATTATTCTGCATCTTAGAAAGTGTGCACATCGATGTATGTTGTCCTTAAGAGACACCTGTACTCGAAAACCGCAAAGATTATAATCCACAACATACCTCATTCACGTTATCTAGTGAGTGTGGGAATTATACCCAGTCAACGAGCCAGAACTGCGCTACTGGAATCAAGAACGATCAATGGCAGACAGTACGCCATCAAGCTAGTGAGATATTCAAGACTAAGCGGGAACTGTGGGTACACATTACAGCATATTTACCAACTGCTTTTACCATTGACCCAGCTCCACGAACTTCAACGGACATCTGCGTCCGACCTGATTTCACCAGGTAGGCGTGTTGGTCCCTGTGGTGGCTGGGAAAAAATCTTGAAGGGCCGCAAAGTTATGACATAATGGGCTTATGCTCTGATTTACCTGTATGTTACAAACCTGAATTTTCAGCACCTTAAGAGACCTCTTGCTACAAGGCACAAGCAATTCACGACCTATCGTCGGATCCGGAGAGGTCACATCGCCATCAATCTACAAAGGCATAGTTCAACGAAATATTACCGCTTTTGAGTGAACTTCGACCAAATAATTGTGTGCGCGAAAATAAGTATTTCCGTCTGTGGACAAAGAGCACAGGAGCAGAAGATGGAAATAAAGGATTCAATGCAGCCGACTACGCTGAAAGAGTTTTAAGTGGACATCACCACTGATTTGTTATCACCTACCTCTGTGCGCTTCGATTGACACTGGTCATATATCGAGTATGCTTTAAATCACATTCGAATCAGTGTTCGTATGACAAACAAGCGAAAACAGATATGGTGGACCCCGAGGAATCCCTGCACCCGCGGGACTGTCAACGCAAGATTTTAGCTGGTTGATTTCATAATCAGGAATGAATAGCAGGCGAACGTTAAATTTTAAAGAGTCTGATGAGGGACTGATAGCTATGGTCAAACACGGAGAAGAGCAATGAAGTGTACCTGAAAAGGTACACTGACCGCCAGGTTAGCTACCCGGGAATTTCACCGACAACCACTACTACCGTTAGAACAAACGTTTCAAGTCTCGACTAAAGCCCGCGCTCTTCAGAGACTGCTTCTCCCGGTTCTTCTGACAAAGAGAGGGTTTCCAGGTTACATTTTGCTCGAAGAACACAAAATCGTGGATTAAAACTAGACATATCGGACTTTCGATGTCAATGAATTATCTTGCAAACAGGACAACGTGCTGTTCGACTGAGAGTTTTCCTCATATGACGCCCAGTAGCCTCGTTATTGTCATAATGTACCTACATACCCCTAAATCAAGCCGCGCGCAATTTCAAATTACGTCTCTGTTGTCGTCCGTCACCAGAGCAGGGAGCTGAATGACACAACACCAGCGGACTCCACCACGAACGCGACAGCTTGTTATCAGGGTAGCGGATAAGTGATTTCGGTGTAAACTCGACATTATTACCGTCATTAACCACACGCATTTCAAGTGCCAGGGGGTGCCCCTGCAAGCATTACAAGCACGAGGCGAGGAATTCATTTTTCCGGTGGGCGCAGTCCCGGAGTTTTGTCACCTGTGTGAAACTGATTGAATGTATAAGCTATAGTTTACATTCGTGACGTAAGGGTCAGTTAATTACCCCCTCATCAAAAACATGCGACGTAATTTGCTACACACTACACTTTTACTGAGAAGCGAAAGAGAGAAACATGACACTTACAGACTACTTTGTCTCTTGAATAACAATGAGAAATAATGCACATGTGTGTGTGTGTGTGTGTGGGGGGGGGTAATTGTTCTCCTTACGGCACTTATTGTTGCGCACGGGAAAGTTTTTCGCTTCCCATAAATAAGTTTTTGTTCCATGAGAGATTACTCTCTATCCACGGAGGTCAATACATTTCGAGAGGTTGTCTATTGGGGGTGATTACTGTAACGAGTTTGAAAAACCATGAACTTGTGGCTTGTTAACTGCGCGCATTCACGGGAGTGCGGTGTTGGAACTAATTCCTACTAACGTGGACGAAGTCCAAGCACGGGAATCCTCCCCAAACGCGGTCGAGGCTTACTTGAGAAAAGTTATGCTGCTTAGCCGCCAAAAAGTGGAGCCTGCGAATTGAAATCAACCGGTTGTACAAACAAGGTCCCTATATAAAAATTCTAGGCCAATCAAATTCACATAACTTGAGAAGCTCATGTATGTACCTGAAAAGTGAACGTCGTGGTGCTTCACTTGTTCGCTACTGATACCGGATGGGNGGGGGGGGGTAATTGTTCTCCTTAAGGCACTTCTTGTTGCGCACGGGAAAGTTTTTCGCTTCCCATAAATAAGTTTTTGTTCCATGAGAGATTACTCTCTATCCACGGAGGTCAATACATTTCGAGAGGTTGTCTATTGGGGGTGATTACTGTAACGAGTTTGAAAAACCATGAACTTGTGGCTTGTTAACTGCGCGCATTCACGGGAGTGCGGTGTTGGAACTAATTCCTACTAACGTGGACGAAGTCCAAGCACGGGAATCCTCCCCAAACGCGGTCGAGGCTTACTTGAGAAAAGTTATGCTGCTTAGCCGCCAAAAAGTGGAGCCTGCGAATTGAAATCAACCGGTTGTACAAACAAGGTCCCTATATAAAAATTCTAGGCCAATCAAATTCACATAACTTGAGAAGCTCATGTATGTACCTGAAAAGTGAACGTCGTGGTGCTTCACTTGTTCGCTACTGATACCGGATGGGAGGGTGTGTAGAGTTGACAAATTGTTAGAGTCTAGTAAAGTGATTAGGTTAAGGGTGGAGCACAATAACAAGCCAAAAGTCAGTTTGTCGCTGGATAACGTTTGCATGTTAAGGAAGTATCATTCAAACAAGCGCACTGAGATGACAGAAACGGTCAGGTCAAGCAGGAAATCCGTAGAAACTCTGTTGCATGCAGAATCGCAACTTAAAAGCACCACAATGCGGAAGGACTGTGCAGGTTGTGATCTAGATACGGTCTCCCGTTGCTGAACGGTATGCTATCCGCCAAGGATACCAAGAGAGATAGGTCTTGTGTGTTCCCCGAAAGTAAAGCCACTTGTTGGTTTAAGCAGCTTGATAGACGGCGATGTTTATCACTACATGATGTAACATAAGATGCACCACAAATCTGGTTCAAAGAAAGTATATTCCCACATTGTGTCCTTTCCAAGATCGTTGGTTACCGAATCTTAACCACGAAGTGGCCATAAACCTAGTCACACACCTTAGAAAAATTACCACATAATGAGAACAGATTCAGCGCCGCAAGAAGATCAACTGACCTCAAAACCGACAATGGTGGTCACTTCGCACAGCTATGTGCTGATCATCTATTTTTTGGCATACAGACTTTCAGCACAAATGGGAGCATCGCGTTACCTGGAGCTATCCAAACGGTTAACAACCGGCCACTTAGACTGACCACAAAGAAATAAGCTATTATTTTAAGAATGTCGCTCCTTTGGGAACATGCGTATAAAGTCCTCTGGTTCGTGTCCGTGTTGTGGTTCTGTTTCCAGCAGTTAATCATAAACCATAGATCCACCGTTCCTTTTTTATTTCAATGTTGCTGTTTTTCCCTGTACTCCTCCACCTTACAATACCCACTGTCATAAGCTGCAGCAACTGGAATCATCTTACACAAGTACGTCTTTCAAGCTTTTAAAACTGAACTGTGAGTTGAGGGTACGTAGGACTGCAACCCAACCACAAGAAGGTTCAAAATGTCACAGTTATGAGGCCAAATACTTACGACACCCAGTGTGAGTGACCTAAAAGTAAATTTATCTGCTGCTTACACAGTCAACAGAACGAGTACAAGGTTATTTTATTAATCCTGTCATATTTTTGCTAGTTGCCCGATTTCACCCACCGAAGGGGGACAGGGTTTGGAGTTCCTCCCTAACAATGCCCAGTCGCAAGGTAACGAGGCGGTGCAGGATCCACATTATACTAGGAACCAGTGACTCAAGTCTGATTCATAAAATCTGGTACAAGCCGCTTACCCAGAAGGCCCAGTTTGCCCTCAGCTAAATTTCCGCCAGTGAGTAGCATTTTGTCCAATCTCCCTATGATTGCGCTTCTGCAGTTACTAGCAGAATAAGTCTCACAGGATAGGTCCTTCTTTGTTTTTAACCCACTTCTGTGCACACTAAAGAAGAGCATATTACAGGCAAAACTAGTGTCTAGTCAACTCCCCTAGACATCCGTTCAAACACCGGACACCAGATGAGTCTGCCGAAAAATCTGCAAATGAGTGCATTTCGTACGATTTGGTTTCATGTAGGAAGTAAGATTGAAGGGAACTCGGAGACTGCGCCTACCTGATGAGCCCCATGAAGGGCGAAACCGGTCGTGGGCTGTCGGAGAATTTTCAGCAACCTTATGAGTAGTTTTCTTAGCAGTGACTAGTAAGTCACGAGTGAGCATTCTGAGAAGAACCAGTGATGGTCAAACCAGAACGATTTTCCAGCACCAGTTCCCGACCATAGGGAGGGATTAGCATCTGCAGACAATGATTGGTACAGGATGAATGAACATACACACGTTAAATCGGTGGTATAGTGGCAGGACTTACTTCGCTCGAGACTGTCAATATTCTGTGTATAGACACGTAATAAACGGGCCTGGTCATTGAGAAGCCGAAGAAAGTGATGTGCAATGTTCGGCCTGTAGCGCCCAGTTGGATATAACTCTTTGGCGAGAGTGTAAAATGGAACAGGGTTGGAGTAGAAGTACTCCAAATCGAAAACAGCCTCAGGCCAGGGTAATTTGTATTGTGACAGATTATCGTAAAGCCCAGTTCCGGGTGTCCTGATTAGGAAGCAGAGTGAAACTCACCAGAGAATGCACCAAAAAACAACACGTGATGTTATTCAATCACCCTAAGTATACGCATTCGGACTCCGCGGAACATAACATGGAATAACACCACTTCGTAAATGAAGGTGGTGCAAGTGCGAGACCCAAACAAAGCCCTCATTTACAAATTTCTCCAACTGAATGCGCTGTCGAGAAATTTTCACCGGTCTTGTGAGAAGCGCCACATTAAGGAAGATTATCATACCTCTCATTGGAGTGCAAAAGTACTGTCCATCACAAGGAACAGTGGTTTGGTTTCGATGTTCGGAGGCCAGAACGGATGCTGCCAAGATTATGGATAAATGAGCTCAGGTTTTAACATATGTTGAGTTTTAAAGATCACCAAACCTGAATATGTCGGCAGCAGTTGTTGCCACATGAATGACCGACGAATCCATGAGATCTTAATCCCAAATTACTGAACTATAACAAGTAGTTTGTCCAGGGGATTCTCTAAGTAAAAATTGTTGCTTTAGGTAAAATGGTCGGATCTGGTAAAGACTTGTCAGAAGATAAGGATTCTCTTGTCGCAGGATGATAAGAGCAACGAACGCTTCGCTGAGCCTTCGTTATGGTGTAAACCTGCGCGAAGTGAATATGCGTCACATGAAATATTTTTCCTAAATATTTTTTGAAAACAAATTGGTCGATTTTTTTAATTTATTGCACACGGCATCCAGTTTCACGGTGATCTATCACTACGTTACGGTACCCTTTCCTTGGGGATAGATTTCCAGAAAGTCAAATATCACATCAACCGAGGTGTTTCCTCATTTTATATTGATCAGTAAGAACGGTACCTCACGCTTTCTGCACTGTCGGTCGTCTCTAATTGGGTGCTTTAAATGTATGTGCGAATACGTTAATTTTAAAACGAGATTTTCTGGGTGCCGGCTGAACGAAAACATAGGCCTGGAGGTGGAACAGAAACACTGAACTGGCGCTCCAGCGACTAAACTGCTGGGGAGAATCATCTCAGCTGGTACACAATCGATATCACCACTCATAAAACTGGTCAATTTTATCCCACCAGAACCGCATAGCTTTCCTCGTTCAAACTCTCTCCCTCTGCATCAATGAGAGAACGATTTTCTCAACACAGGTGCATAGCAGCGAGTGCCTAGCTTTTTACGTGAGTGGGGACGGCGGACACCTCGCCGGCGCAAGGTAACCTGTTGATTCATTGAGAGGTCCTCTCAAACAGAAATCACTCTCACAACAGCGTTGTCTGACAACGCCTCAGGAGAGACAAAAAACACAGCTTTTCCCCTAAGCACTTCGTACCTCTTGCGGGATTGTTGTCCTCAGTCTGACCAGATGGTGGAAGGCGTAATATAGCTGTATGCATGCATGTGGACTTGACCAGACCGAATGACATTAATTCCCGCTGTATGCAAGGAATGATGACTTACGAGTAGAAACAGAAACTGTTCGGAGTTATTCTAACAAGTTTAAACGTCGAGAGATTTTTCCGGAGGGGGGGCAGTTGTGAACGCCTGAACAACACAATCGAAGAAAAACTCACACTATCCACAAAGAGGCGCAACACCCTGGATTTATTCTAGAAACTTTCGACCGCTTGCCCCAATCTAAAACAGAACAGTTGTATGAACGGGACTATTGGTTCAGTGTGAAATCAATAAGGCTAAATTGGGGCACATTGCTTTCGGTGAGATCAGCGTCATTGAAGTGTTGTTGTATCTCCGCTGCCTCGCTTTTATTTATTTAGTTCAGGTGTTAGTGGTTGCGGGATTCTGTGGAATGTATACTCACATGGCTTTCATTTGAACAATCGCCCTCCTGTCCTGGCGCAGTCTGTGGAGGTCACTCACTAGATTACTTATCAAACAACGCAACAATGCCTGTTCCAATTGCAACCTTAACTGGCAACATGTACACTATAATTTCCAACGAAGTTTTGTTTACGCGACTACAACCTGCGCTACGCACAAGGCCTACGACCTCCAACCGCATCGGGTCAACTTGTATCCGTGTTTGTGAAACTATCAAAAAAAGAAAGGAGACCCCTCTCTTCACATTGCACACAATAAATAAACATGCAACTCGGCCCGGCAACACAGGCGCGGGCGTACAGGACAGGAAGTAAATCGACCTTTGCAAGTCTCCACGGCCAACTACGTAACACGTGTAGCAGCTATACTGCAGAGAGAACACATCCCGAGTCCGGAACTTCACTCAGGAACTCTCAACAAGTGTCCTCAAACGATAATTTACTTTTTGGCTTATCCCACTTTTCGCGTTGTATTTGTTTTTATCAAGGTGCACCTAACTATTGTAGCCACCATCATTCTAGTAAGACGGCCATTTGTTAGTGCTTGTCACCTTCTGATAACCAATTTACTTACGTTACAACTAGAGCACTGACAAGTTCACAATGGACTCGAGTTTCACTCTCATTAGAGCTCATGAGCGGTGCATACCCAATGGCCATGCCGGGGTTTGAACTCCGCGCTTTGTACATGCGAGAGGACCGTGTTACCACTACTCCACCGGCGCACGCTGGACACATCCGGTAATATTTTCTTTACGTCTGAAGTGAATATGTCCGCGCTTGAACTCGGAATCTTGCAGAACATCAAATGAATTCGCACATGTGATATAAACCTATTTCTACAGAAAGGATTATGAAGTCAAACCTAATAGCCTGAACACATAATATTCGTAAATAGCTGAAGAACAGAGGAAGATCTACAGTTAGTTTAGAGGTACCACATAGGAGCATACCGGAAATCCGGAATTCCACTAGCTGTACTAATTCCTGCTCCCGTTAGGACGACGATCCTTTTCACATGCTCATCAGCGAGGATATTGACGGCACGTGAGAACTCAGCCTCTTCGCCACTGGATGTGTCTGAGTCAGAGGACATACGGCAACGCGAAGATGTTTGAACACCGAAACTGATGGTGGTGATTCTTCTCGAAAAAAAAATCAAATTAGTAGTGGCTGACATCGTTTGAATGGATGAAATAATCAAAGCATGTAAAAAACGGTGGGACCAACGGTACACCAAATAAAATAATATTACGCGGCGTTATACATGCATTGATCGATTAAGATGGTGCAGAGCGGAACTCAACAAAATCTCTCGACCACGATGTCTTCATAAGTGGCGTTGCACACAAGAAGCAATTAGGGAAGTGCGGTGATTTTCAGGGTTTAATGTAGTAGTGGCAAGATGAGGCGTACTAACGTGTGATATTATTGGGAATTAGAAGTATGGAGACACTTAACATGGATAACCGCCTGCTGGCCTCATTACTGATAAGCTACTCACGTGCGCTGTTCAACTTCTGCCCGGAAGACATGTGGAACGAAGTCCAAGAGAGCGTTGACAGATATGAATTGCAGTGGGGATTCAACACCAACATGACACTTTTAGGTTCCGAAAAGACATTTCGTTTGCCTTGCACAGCAAACCCCAAAACAGAAACTAGGTGGTTATATACACTGTTTTCCAAGGTGTATTTATTTTCCATTATTTTCACAGCACTTTCACACTGAAACACCAGTAGACAACGATATAACGCTAATCTACTAGGAGCTGACGATGTCACCTTTAACGACTGGAAACACATTCAGTCAATTTACCGAGCTCAGGTAACAAAACAAACCGTGCTACACCTAGATAGTGTGATAAAGCTGTTGGGCATAGAGGTCTTCAGTATGCATCTACACTTACAGCTTTCGTTGTTCGGTTTGTGATATGGTTATACAGGGTGTTCGTAAGGTTACACGATGACTGATATCAACAGTGCTGATTGTGACAAATGATCAGGAGCATCACGATGGATGACACGTCTAGATGTTTATAAACAGATTAAATCCAGCCCAAAAATAGTAAGGCTGCTGGACTGTGCATGAACAGGTGTATTTAGGCTTGGACGTGTTAACAATAAGTTAAACCGGAAAACAAATACGCGTAAGTCCTGTCGACGTGGTCACGTTAAAGAATGGTTCGTCCAGTTCCGCTGACCAGCTAGGGATGCCTGAAAGACAGAGACTTTCAACTACTATGAACAGTAACGTGCCGAAATACTATCAAGGTTCGTGCGCACTGTTGTCGATTCCCTATAGGAAATGGTATGGCTGTTTAAACTTAACCTCATGGGATAAAATCCACAAGAAAAAGCGCCAAAACAGGAACCTCCTTAATCTCGATAAAATGAACCCCAAAGCGTAGAAAGTTGACATTTGTACGCTTACGGGAAAATGCTCCCAGAGTGCGATGTAATTTATAACAAAATGACACAATCTGGTTCAAAACAGCAGACCCTATTCAAGGGTAAAAGAAAGAAATGTGGGTGACACCAACAAGGGGTTGTAAAGATAACAGAGGGTGCCAAAATATACCTACTAGGCGCAAGTTAAAAATGAGGTCTAATCTGTGCAAGGGGACTTACTGGAGAAAGCTACAGGCCCCAGATTTTAGACATTGTCCGCAATGCGATGGGCCGATAAAGTACAAACGGGTGAACATCCGTAGAGGCCGAAGATATATTCTACGTTAAGGAAACCTGTAATGAAATACTGGGGACGATCAAACGATGGCAAATAAATAACCATTGAACGAAAAAGTGGACACACTACTAGATAAGCTATCGTGAGTTCTGTTTACATGCTGGTCTTACAAGAATGATACCGATGAAACGGATAGCAGAAAGCGAAATGGACAGGGAATTGGGTGGGAATATGAAGTAGTAGAGCGAGTGCTCGTATTCAGGACGAAAGTCCCAGAAAATGGAAGATGGAACCTAATTGGATACGCCAGAAACTTCACCGCTGATTCAACACACTACCTGAAAATTTAAAAAGTCCACCGTAACACTCTTTCAGTCCATGCCGCCCGAAGGAAGCACGAGGGATGGGATACTGCCAGGTTGCTCAAGCCTAGACGAACGTAGAGATGCATAGGTGGGTTCGAAACACGGACCTTCCAGTCAGTAAGCAGGCACTCTAACCACTGAGCCATGACGCACCAACACACTGTCAAAGTGAAAAGCGTCCACGATTATCGTAAAAGCAGATGATGTCCAACTGCCTCGGTAAGTGGCGCGCCCGACTGCTCGGCAACCAGTGACCAAGTTATCAACTGAACAACATGCCCTTGTTCCCACTTAGGACCATCAGACAACCCAAGATGAACCACACGAAGGTCACAAACCTTTTGCCTAATTCACTCCAACAAATATGCCGAAACCATAGCCTCCTCCTCGAACACATTCAAACAGTTCAAAGTTCGAATCGTTTGTAAAATATTGAAACGCATACATACAAAAGAACTATATTTCCCGATTCTTCAATAAGTAGAGAGATCCCTTTATTAGCAACCTGTTTCACTGCTCTGTTTTAATTCAAAGAAGCAGTGAGTAATTAACTTCACATGGATAATTTGACATGAATCGAAGCAACGTCTGAAGGTTCTTTCTGCAACTACCAGACAAGGAGCACAGACACACGACACCGATCAGGCGAATCGCTTTCCAATTTCGAGAATCCTCCCTCGCGTCACGTCGTATTTCTGGTCAAATCATTCTAAATGGATTTGGAAATGACATCATTTCAATTAATCTTGGAGAATGCCGCCTGGAGTTACTTCAGCTCATCAATTTCAAAGTGGTCACTTTTGAATGTTGACAAAAAATGTTGCAAGACATTTTAGCCGCTGTATATTGGTCCAGTTTGAAGTCCATTGTATTTCACAGCTTAATTTTTAAAAAACATAAGTGAACCCATCACCTTTACCATGTTTGGTACTTTCCTTGCAGGTGGAGATTCATTTCTTGAGGCGAGAAGCAACACCTGACAGATAATATGCGTGCAGTATAGTGTTTATGATTTCACCATCGGAGAGAGTTCAATCTTCCTCAACTTTACAAAATAATTCCTGAGCTGAACACTTCACTCTGCTGAACAGCCCTGAATAAGGCTGTGAGTATTCGTTGGTGTTGCGGTCGGTGATCATGACTCGCGACTTAGATTGTTGAGTCTAAAAGTGCTGACAGGTTCTGATATGATGCATGATGAACAGCCATACGCCATATGGATTCTCCCCTTAGAGTTTGGCCCTGCTCCTAAGTTGTAGTCCACGCTTCGATGCGATTACAGGGAGTTCCACGTCCGCAAGCCATTACCAAAAAGTAAATTAAAAGCACTTCTGGTTCTGAAGGTCCGGTTTCAAAGCTCCGTGTCCGTCTGAGAAGTGTCCCGTGTGGAACAATCGAGTAACAGGAATCGCACAAGCGAAAACAGTATACGCAGTTTTTTGGCATTAATGGGGCCACATAGTAATTAGGCGTCTGAGTCGATTACTAGCAGAAAGGTACACACAAATTGTTCCTGTTACTAAACATCGCGAACGCATTTCTGATAAGTCTTTTGATGTCTGGCTAGCCGTTAGCCATCATCATCATAATCACCATAATCATCAAAGACAGCAACATTAGTGTCGACACTGAAGCTTCACCACCGTACAACCATAAGGTTCATCTAACTAATTTAAAGCCCTAGAGTAAAAAGAAGAAAATAGAGTGGGTAAGGGAGGGAACCTAAAGCTGGCCTATGTCAAGCGTTCTGAGGTGTCTACACCCACAAGTGCTGATTCAATCTGTAAAGAAACTGACACCAGGAACGCCACTGACATCGATTAGACAACATTTATTGCAGCATCTCCAGCCAATCACAGGCGGGGTCACGGGGACACCATCCTGGAAGACGTACAACACTAACAACACCCAAACACTTCATGATCTCTTTCACGCCTTTCTGCCAAGTCACGTGCTGTCCACCTCGCGGTTTGTGTCATGCTGAATGAGGCACAGAGAACAACACTCGTCTTGGTAGATGGTGCTTCGACATGCGTAGCACATGACCGAACCATCTTAGTCGATTATGCTGAATGTTTTCTTGGATTGATGGGCCTGCAGCACAACCAAATACCCGTTTTATAATCATCTCGTTACTACCACACTGACGCCATCCAAAACCAGCAGCGCTTCTGAGGCGTCGGTGGCCAAAAACCTGAAGACGCCCCACATCATCTATGTCTCGCATCCATACAACAACAGAGCCTTGGTACACGCGACCCTTAAGGTCTCGTGATAGGTTCTTTGACACCACAAGTGGCGCAAACGAGCGAACATGATTCGAGCCTTTGAGACTCTTGCACTGACTTTACCAGACACATTTACGTCAGAGCAAATACAACTACCGAGGTATGTAAAAATTTCCACAATCTCTAGTGATTGCCTATGGATTTTAAGAAATATGTACAGAGACTATGCTCTGAAGCGTGACTTGGACAACAGAAGGATGTTGTGGGTGAGAATTGCCACGGCCTCATAGGTTCAAGGAGAAAAGTAGATTTTGTCATTTATCTGTAGAATGGAACCACCAGGAGCTTAAAAATGTGGCCCGGATTCATGAGGAAAATAGCTCCCGATTCATTTTTGTTCGATTGCTATGGTAGCCATAAATGTTGAGCTTTCGGAAAAGTTTTCCATCGCTTCAGACAAGTCAGGCAGCACTGTATTTTGTCAGTTTTCATAAGAGATACGAATCTGTCCCAAAAGGACCGGACCTTGCCGTATTGTAACGGCGACTCATTGAGCTATACCGAGGAACATCTGTGCAGCAGGTTTGGCAGTCCAAAACAGTCTCTTGGTCCTATAGGTTTAGGGGTCCAAATTTGGTGATGGTTCCACTAAAAAATCAATGCACGGCCAAACACCATTACCTTGAGGCTTTTCAGCCAAAAGTTCCGGTCGGGAACCCTAGTCATCCTCTTACTGGAATTGACCCCTCTGGCAGTATCCCAGCAGGCGCCCAGCTATGATTATCACAAACGGAAATGTTGTCACGCCACTTTGGAGTCATGTGGGATCACAAACCAGGTTGCCGTATTTGAGGCATACAGCAGGGCAAGTAAGACAAAACGGGCTATTGCTGACGCCCTCTTATCTTTTCACGATTTTCTCTCCTCCCTCCTCCCATTCCAATAAAAATAACCTTCAGATAGGCACATCCGTCGGGTTTTCATTCGTCTTGCATCAGTCCTGGCCGCGACACCTGCAAGTCAGCTGGTGCCTACAGCTTATGGCATCTCAAAATCACTTTGGAGGCTACTTTTTATGTTCGAGTTCTTAAGCTGGAAGGACAACAGACCGTTTTTGATTGCACACTAGCCGTGTGTGATATTAATTGATGTGCGCTGCTTGTCGAAAATGAGAATCCAGTATCCAAACAGAAATTCAACCCGCCCCATCACTCCTGGCCTACTTTCGGATACACATATCTAGCGATCCAGCGACTACTGCGACAGGCCGTACATAGGTCGTTAATGTTCTAAGTCACCGGGTGGAAGGATTATCACTTGACCGGATACTTGTTGAGTCGTTTCTGTGCGGTTCACCCGGAAAGGTTCAGCCGGAAATTCCGGTGAAGGAATCCCGCAAGTGAGAAGTTGATCGTTGTCTGTTTACACCCCGAACGACTGAGCACTGACACCATCAAACATGGGTTATATGAAACCTTGAGCGACCTGTAGCAGTGAGCCAACAGTTCAGATATCGTTGTGGTTGCCCGAGATTTGTGTGTTAGTTGACAGAACTAGCACACCTGAAAATCAACTAGGTGGTTGACATGGACTGGATATGTTAAGTACTGACAAGGCGAACGACTAATCCAACTTTGTGCTAGCAGCTGACGGTTTTTATACTGATCATGTGGTGTGCCATCCAAGAACCCGAATTGGTCACATCGCCATTAGTCACCGACGGTACGGATAACAATTGACTACAGCCCTCTTTGAAACATTTGTGTGGAACCTGACGATCCGCTCGTCCTGAGTCGCTTCTCTTTTCGGTTGTCAGAGCTGCATAAGACGTGGACAACTTGCATAGCAAATGAGAGACACAAGATCACGAAGCTAAGGAAATTCATTAGAGCTAGACTCTCTTCTAACTGCTCCACTGTAGGACGTCATTTTGCAGCGGAAAAAGAGAGCCATATCTTTGTACATTGCAGGAAAGCTTTGTCTGTAGCACTGCATTGCCAGGTTCACCCATGCACTGGATGTCAAACAGAAAAGTGACACTGCTAGAAACTCACAGAACTGCCCCCGATCAGGATTCGGTCCGATGACTTATCAGAAGTCAAGTGAAACAGCGTGTGGACCTACTAGGAAGCCAGGTAGACGGAAGAGGCATAGAAGCCTAGAACGCACGAAGACTTCAGTTGGTCCAAGTGACCAAGCCCGGAAAACCGCCCGTGGTTAAAATGATTTAGGGTCAAAGTGACGTCTCCAGCTTCAGTAGGGGAGTGCATCTGGGCTTCTGGGTCGAGCACTGAGTCGGTGTCACCCACAGCCACTCAGTTGTACCCTAGAATTGCAGTGAGACCCTGGACGGTGAACCAAGAACCCCAACAGCCTAGGTTTTCGATCACGCATGTCCTCTAAAGCACAACCGAGCCGCTGGTCCGGATGGCTTAACGCCAACATTGCCCAAGGACGGGG